AGACAGGGAGGAAAAGATGGAAGTTTTAAAGAAGATGTTGGACAACCATTTGTCTGAAGTGGTGTAGGGTTTCCTGCCTGAGCCAGGGGTTGGACTAGAAGACCTCCAAGGTCCCTTCCAACTCTGTTATTCTGTTAAACTTTTGCCTTTAAACATTTTTTAAGGAGCGCATGAAAGAAATAACACACTTGCTTGCTAATTGTCTTCACCATGGATTAGTTCAAAATCCCCCACCGTAACATGAGGATTATACAGCAGGCAACATGAGCTAGGAATGGAGAGTCTGAATGAATGTGGACAGTACATACAGGTAGTCCTCGCTTTACGACCGTCATTGAGCCCAGTATCCATTCGGACAAGTGAAACACTTGTTCGGTGTGTTTGGCCCCATTTTACGACTTTTCTTGCCACCGTTGTTAAGTGAGTCATTGAGTTTGTTAAGTTAGTCGTATGTTTGTTCAGTGAATTCTGGCTCCCCCGTTGTCTTGGCTTGTCCGACGGTCGCAAAAGGGGATGACGTGACCCCCTGGGGAATACTGCCACCGTCATAAAGGTGAGTCAGTTGCCAAGCGTCTAAATTTTGATCACGTGGCCACGAGGCAGGAAGGCCGCAACGGTCGTAAGTCTGAGGTACGGTCTTAAGTCACTTTCTCCAGTGCCGTCGTAACTTTGAACGGCCGCTAAATGAGGTGTCGTAAGTCGGGGACCGCCTGTATGTTTTATTTTTAGTTCAGCGTTAGCTTCCCCAAGCCGAGCATTTCCAGGTCAGGGCTGAACAGCTTCCCGCCTCCTGCCGAATCCCATTGTAACACGCTTGTTTTCGATTAAATATGATTACAGATTTTGTTGTCCATCAGATTTTGCCCTATCAGTCAGTCTCGATCGACACCTTCAGCTCCAAAAACGACGTCTACGTGGCCATTGCGCAAACCAGCATGGAAAACTGCATGGTGCTGGAATGGGACCACATTGAGAAGAACTTCCGGAGTTACGACAACATCACCGGTAAAAAAATATAACCCCATGTGCCACTCTTAAGTTTCAGTGCGTCCTTTGGGATTCACCGGGTGCGTTTCCCCATTCTGTCAAGGCGGTTTTGAGGATTTGGAANGTTGTTGTTGTTGTTGTTGTTATTCTTTTATTCATTAAACATGAAACTCAGTCAATTGAACATTTACAAATGTATCACAAATATCCTTGACTTTTACTGATGGTTGATATGGGTTACTGCCAGCATCCTAGGTATCAGCCAAGTTTATTTATTATCTCTTTTATTCATTAAACATGAAACTCAGTCAACCGAGCAGTTAAAAATAGCAGAGTTTGTTGCAGAAAAATCAAATCCGGAAAGCACACAAAGATAACGGATTCAGCTGGATTCATTAACTTCTTTATATAGATAATAACAGATTAATAAATGTACAACACGGATAGTAGATTCTTTCAGTGTGGTAGAAGTTACAAGCAGAACACAAGCAAGAGAGCCGTTAGTTTCAGTTTCACAGTTCAGAACAGACAGAGATAAGTCTTGTTTCAGTTTCAATTCTCAGCACAGTTCTGTTTCAGCTCCCATTGGCTGACTTTGTTGCTATGCCTATTCATTGGCTGACCTTGTTACCATGTTCCTCCCAGTCATGAATATTCTAACAAAAAAATGTGTTCACAAATACCATTGATTGGTGCTAATGTTGGATACGGGTTATTGTTGTTGTTGTTGTTGTTGTTTGTCTTCTTGTGACAAAGAAACAACATCCACAACAGAAAGCCCCTTTATTAATTAAACTTGATAGACAAACATTGCTTTGTCTTTAAAAGTCCCACTCTGCTCACTTCTTATTTCTCGCCGATGGTCCAATCTGCCCTGTCGCTGTTTTTCCAAACGAAAAACTTGCAAGAATCAGATGAATTTCGATTCCGGCCTGTCCTGAATAGAATAAAATACAGGATTAATTTGGTTGTTAATTTTAATTTAATTTTTAAAATTTTATTGTAAATATCCATTTCGAGGTGTTTTTTTGGGGGATACTTTATTTAATGTCCCTTTTAATTTTTCTAATATGTGTTTTCTTTTATGTTGTACGCTGCCCTGAGTCCTTGGGAGAAGGGCGGCATATAAATCCTCAAACCTCAAACCTTCTTTGCAAACCAGCTTTTCTTTCCCCACGTATTTCTAGAGACCTGAGGGGGAACAAGTTTGAATGTGATTGCAAAGCCAAGTGGCTGTTTTTGTGGTTAAAGATGACCAACTCCTCCGTTTCGGAAGTCCTGTGTGTGGGTCCCGCGGAATTTCAGGACAAGAAATTAAACGAAGCCTCGAGCTTTGACGATGAATGCACCACGACAGGTATTTTGGCGAATTGGTTCATAGTTTGAAATTAATAGTTAAGTAGTTAAAATTGTCGTCCTCTTGAGTCTCTTCGGAGCAAAGGGATTGTAACTTTAAAGCTTTAATTTAAGAAGTAGCAGATGGAAACTAATCAAGGAGAGAAGCAACTTAGAACTGAAGAGAAATTTCCTGACAGCTAGAACAATTAACCAGTGGAACCGAAGTT